CACTTCCAGGCCGATTTAGTTTCCGGGTCCTTCATGAGAACCATAGACATTTGAGCCTTCTTTCCAGAACGTCCAAGAGCATTCAATTCGGATCTATGAGCAGAAAGATACAGTCTCCGGAATGGACACATGTCTAGACGCCTCTCTCTGGTCGTGTACATGCACTGCAAAGATGTGCCCTCCAGGAAGCCTTACACTTCCCAAGCACCGAAGCTTTCTTCACAAAAGTTGGAGATAAATGAGTCCTCTGTCTTCTGCAACCGAAATCATTCAATTCGGACAAGTCTCATAGGAGTTACACTCTCCGGAATGCGAAGTGGTCTAAGCTGCTCTGGATGCTGCGAGTTGGAGAGGAAGGAGACCAAGCCGCAGCAACACTCGCAAATCACTCCGACTTGAGCCTGCGACCTAGGTGCAATAGAGACCAACCCGCACAGTTTGTACATTCCCCAGAAACCGCCTTAGCCCTGCGAGTTGGAGAGGAAGGAGACCAAGCCGCAGCAACACTCGCAAAACACTCCTACTTAGGCGTGCGGCTAAGACAAGGCGATTCAGGCTTCACAAGACAAGTCTTCATCTACTGCGACTTAGGTGTGCGACCTGGGACATACTGGACTGACCCGCAGGATTTCCACTTGACCCAACTGAGCCGGGTCAGTACCCAGTTTGTCCTGGGCTGACCCGGTCCATTAGCACTAGGTATATATAGTTTTTTGGGAGAAAAACCCAAGTAGATCATCTTCTCTCTTAGTTTCTCTCTAGTTTTCTTTCCTTTTTAGTGTAAAAACGTTTTTGATTAAGAGAGATCTCAAGGATTTAATCAATCTAAGTCTGTTTGTCATCATCTCATCATTTCATTTCTGCTTCTAATCATGATTAACATCATCTCTTGCAAAAGATTAGATGTGTTCTTCATGATTAGTGAGTAGTCATCTTTTAAACTTCTAGGTGTGTAGATTAGGGTGCTTAGATGTTTGATTGGTGATGTTTAGGGTTTAGATTCTCATTCCATTTCCTTAGTTAGTTGCTCCTAATGCCAGATTTCCTTGGGAAAGTGAAATCTGGGTTCATAGGCATTTCATGCACCAAAAGTGTTTGATGAAATGCCTGAATGAGCTAACTTAAGGGTTTATGCCTTTTTCATCATGGGAATGATTTGTTAAATGCATGAATGACATATTAGAACTGTTTCTTAATGCTCATTGATTCATATTTCACAAATGATGATTTGGTTTGAAAGTGGATTAGTGTAGAGATTAATGCCTTCATGAGAGGATTAGTCTAGATTAGAGTTCTAAGTTGAAATGTTTGAGATCATGTGATTGCTTGTTATGTCTTTCTGTATAAGATTCAGTCTTCTTGGTTGAGAGATTGTTTGGTCACTTATTAGGCTTGATGCATTATGCTTGCTGATTGCTTGATTATATCTAATGGTTGTTAGACTTGATTAAGTGATTTGCAAAGGGATTATTGTCATGGGAATGAATTAATCTGATTAAGAAGCCTAGACTAAAGAGTAGCAAGTGTTGCATTATGTTCTTAGCATCATGATTCAATATCTAAAGCACCCTAATCAATGATCACATCTAGAGGTTTAGCTTTTATCATTTGCTTAATCACCATCATCTTGTTTTGTTTGCTTGCTTAGTTCATTAATCATAGCTTGTTTGTTTCTTGTTTTATGCTTTCTTGTTGCTGGTTTCACAAAACTCATCTTTGATTACTTGACTTAAGAACCTATCACATAAACTAGTGCCTAACTACCACACATATGGATTGACACCCCTTATACTACTTTGACAAGGGGATTGATAACCCATCTAAGGCTTTAAAAACTTCAGTTATCAGAGTCCTGGATTGTTAAGGCTGAAAACTGTTTTCTTCAAATGTGATTGGTTTGATCCAACTGTTGGACGAGGGGTACGTCTAAACAAGTTTGGAGTTGTTGACGTGAACAAATCACGACGGTACAACAGGTTTGAGCCATTTATATTAGCTTCTCAAGCAAAACAGGTAACGTTTCTGCCATACCCTCGAGTTCGATCAACAGGAATTTCATGGTTAGCTGTAGTTAAAGTGGCTCCGAGGGGCAAGATTGTAGGGGTTGACGATGTTCCACTTCAACAGGACACTTGCGTAGATTTGTCTGAACCAGATGTTGATGAGGAGATTTTCTTAATAGACCCAGATCTCCGACGGACAATTCCAGTCAAATTTATCGAACGTCTTAGCATCGAAGAGGTAGAAGTAGTTCGGCTGATAAATCCTCCTGAGCAGGAACCAGAGAGGGGCGAAGAAATCCCTATGGATAAAGACGCCTCACCAGCCGAGCTGGAGTACGGCTGCGACAAAGAATGGCTCGGAGCCATCCGAGTATATATCGCCGATGGAGAAGTACTATCCGACAAGTGGGAAGCCCGCAAATTAAAAGCTCAGACCGCGCGATATGCCCTCATCGACGGCGAGGTGTTTAAATGGAGATTTTCAGGACCGAAGGTCAGAAAGATAATGCATGAAGTGCACAGCGGCGCGTGCGGAAACCATTCTAGCGGAAGGTCACTCGCAATCAAGATAAAACGGCATGGTTACTTCTAGCCTACGATGGTCAAGGACTGCGAGAGGTTTACGGCGAAGTGCGAGAAATGTCAACGACACGCGCCTACAATCCACCAACCTACCGAGCTGCTGTCATCAATCTCGTCACCTTATCCTTTCATGAGATGGTCGATGGATATAGTCGGACCTCTACATCGATCGAAGCAGAAGCGCTTTCTACTCGTCCTCACGGATTATTTTTCTAAGTGGGTCGAGACCGACTCTTACGCGAGCATAAAGGACGCTCAAGTCGAAAACTTCGTCTGGAAAAACATCATTTGCCGACATGGGGTCCCCTACGATATAGTCACCGATAACGGATCCCAGTTCATCTCAACGCGCTTTGAAGCTTTCTGCGAGAAATGGAAAATTCGTTTGAGCAAATCTACGCCAAGATATCCCCAAGGGAATGGACAAGCCTAAGCAGCCAACAAGACGATCCTAGATGGTCTGAAAAAGAGGCTAGACGCCAAGAAAGGTCGATGGGTAGACGAGCTCGAAGGAGTCATTTGGTCGCATCGGACAACTCCGCGCCGAGCCACTGGAGAAACTCCATTCGCTCTAGTCTATGGAACGGAGTGCGTAATTCCCCCCGAGGTGGATTTCCCAGGTATTCGACGAAGACTTCTGCCAGGACAGGAGGGCTTGAATCACTTAATGATGCTGGACGAGATTAATTTGGTCAACGAAAGGCGCGACCAGGCTCTAATCCGAATCTAGAACTACCAACAAGCAACAGCGAGATACTACAACAAAAATGTCCGAAGTCGAAGATTAAAAGAAGGAGAGCTCATTCTTCGAAAAGTTTTCCAAAACACTGCCGAGAAGAATGCAGGAAACCTCGGAGCAAATTGGGAAGGTCCTTACAAGATTACAAAAGTAGTTCGCCCAGGAGTCTACGAACTTGCGACGGTAGCCGACGAAGCAACTCCAAGATCGTGGAATGCAATGCACCTAAAGAAGTATTATCACTAAGGCTACAACACACTCAACATGAACTACGGGACGGCTTGATCCCTGCAAAGGGTACGTAAGCAGCCCGTCCTCGGACGGGTTCAGCTGTCCCCCCTCCTAAAAAGGGGAGGGGGGGAGTGGGTACGTATACACATACCTTCATTAACTCTACAATTTTAGCTCGTCTACTATCTCTAGGGTCATAGCCACTTCGGCCAGTTTTCCATTCGTTTTAAACCAGTTAGTTGTTTCATGTTCACCTCGGATTTTTAATTCACTTGCCACTTCGGCTAGTTTTCATTCATCACTTATGTACACTTCGCCTAGACTCTTACTTGTCCTTGCATCTACTTCGGCAAACTACGTTTCCAAACACCTCGCCTCGTTGCTGGCCACAGCGAGGCAACAGTCACAAAGTTCTCTAAATGGACTTTTAACCACCTTTCCTAGGACGAGAGTGCAAGCTACATCCTCTATTGATTAAAATTAAGCGCGCTAGACAAATTTAAGACCAAAAACGTATCGGTCACCACGGTTCGTCATCGCACACGAGACTGTAAGTCAAGACTACATCGCTTTCTCTAAAAACCGAAACGAACTCTTAAAACCCGGCAAACGCATTCACCCTCTCGGGAACGCCGGTCTATAATCAAACTTCGATATCGTCTCAGGACCTGGACCTCGGCAACAAGAGTTCCAACCTTAGCGCCTCAAACGGCCAAAACTAAATCCAACCTAAAATACCTCCGCACTAAATCTTTCCTAACTCAAACGCCTCGGCCCCTACGGTCGACGGCACAAAGAACGACAATCCCTTAAAATAGTCAACCCCCAGCTCGGGTTTCAGACTTAAACAAAATCTGTAACAACACGTCCTTTAGTCCAGCTTTCTAGCAATCTTTCGTGACAGTTCGGCCCGGGAAGCAAACGAAATCTCCCTCGGCTCGGCTCGACAAAACCAGTTGACAACAGATCATCCCAGCCAATGTTTCCTCAAAAAAAATTCATTCATAAACCTTCAAAGGCAAAAACAACGTTTCCAAAAATGACTAAGGGGAAAGATGAAGGTAACCGCTACTAAGTCAATTTACCAATAAAATCAATAGTCAGGTGGATAAAGCCGTCCAGGCACCGATTACATAAGAGTTCGAAAAACGGATAAAAGCATCCAAGCCTTTAGTACAAAAACGCATGAAGTAAAAGATGAAGGAAGGAGGAGTGAGTCAAGCCGCAGACTGCGTTTCCCGCTCAGCAAGGAGGTTTGAAAGGGCCGGTGTACGCGCATTTGATCCGGTCGGATCAACAACGTCCAGGTTAGCCGCTGTCTCCTGGATCGGTTCGTCACCCAGACCGGTGTCTACGGAGTCCGGCGACACGGGCGAGAAGATGAGCTCACCTCGAATCTCGGAGGCAATGCGATCATACGCCTCGTCATCGACGTATTCGATCTCTCAATCTTTTAGCTTCGCCTCCTCATCGTCAAGTGTTGGACCATCCGGTTTCCTCAGGTCGTTGATCATAGCAAGATTGCCCTTGATCTGCCCCAGCTCGTTCTCGTCGGTTTTAGCCTTCTCGAGCTTGGCTAGACCTTCCTCCACCTTGGCGAGACGTTCCTGAAACTTAGCCATCAGTTCTCGCCTCGTTTCCTTCTTCGCACGCTTGACCTTATCATCAAACAAGGCATCCTTGCCTCGATACGCCTCTTAAGCAACGCCACCTCGGCGCTTTTGGTTCTCCTTGAATGACCGAGGCGGAAACCTTGTCTACATCGGCACGAAGAACTATCTTCTCCTCTTCCAGCCTCGACACCTTGGTCATCGCCTCGTCCAGCTTCTCCTTCGCCGCCGCGGTCTCGTTCCCAGCCTCGTCCAGGGGACGTTCGACCTTAGACAGGTCCGCCTCGTACTCAGCCATCAGCTCGTTGATGGCCGCTACAAATTGCAGAGAATAGTACGCGTTAAACACTTGGTGCCGCGCTGTGCCATCGCGCCATAAGACCTTGGTGCCGCGCTGTGCCATCGCGCCATAAGACCTTGGTCTCCTCAGCTTCTCAAGAAGAGGAAGACGCGTGTTAGCATTGTTGACACGCGAGAACATCACCGCTGAGGCGTCTGGGTCATCGACTACCAATTTGCGCGAAGCGGGATCGTCAGACGCCGGCTTGCATTTCTTCTTAGGCGGCTCGTCTTTTTGAACAGTCACGCCTTTCCCTTTATCAGCGGCTGAACGTTTTCGGCCGAAATTGTGCTTCTGACGATGCGGAGCCAGGGGCCTCGATGACTTCGGAAGAGCCAAAATGGCCGAGTGGGAAGGAGTTTTACTCGGCGCCGCGGAGTCGTCTTTGGGCGCCTCGGGAATGATTTCACCCAGTTCCACATGAGGCGCCACTTCTTTCTCGTTTGCCTCGGCAACGTTCGCCCCCACAATTCGGGTCACACCTTCATCATCACGGCTCGGCGGAACATCTTGAGGGACAGCCTCGGCCTCCATTTGAGCCGCCTCAACGGCTCGTCTCGCAGCCTCTTCTTCTTCACGCCTCTTTTTATCTCTAAGAATAATGATCACCATTTTCTCCCTTGTGTCTCCTGAGGAATTTGAAGATGAAGAGCTAACAGGAACTCCGGCAAGAATGGCTCGCGCTCTTTCCACTCTCTCAAATGTAAAATGCTTCCTCCAATTAACTCTCCGGGCCGCGAGAGAATCTTGAACAACAAAGAGGTCGTCGGGAATTGGGGGAAGAATGCTCCGAACTGCAAAAACAACACGAAAACAACCAGCTCAATAAGGGAAGATTATACCATAACAGTTCCGAGCCGAGGCAAAGCTTCGGATTGGCTACCAAGTGGTCCCCAAGCGTTCTTGGTTTTTTAATTGGGAAGTCGAAGATTTAAAGAAGGAGAGCTCATTCTTCGAAAAGTTTTCCAAAACACTGCCGAGAAGAATGCAGGAAACCTCGGAGCAAATTGGGAAGGTCCTTACAAGATTACAAAAGTAGTTCGCCCAGGAGTCTACGAACTTGCGACGGTAGCCGACGAAGCAACTCCAAGATCGTGGAATGCAATGCACCTAAAGAAGTATTATCACTAAGGCTACAACACACTCAACATGAACTACGGAACGGCTTGATCCCTGCAAAGGGTACGTAGGCAGCCCGTCCTCGGACGGGTTCAGCTGTCCCCCCTCCTAAAAAGGGGAGGGGGGGAGTGGGTACGTATACACATACCTTCATTAACTCTACAATTTTAGCTCGTCTACTATCTCTAGGGTCATAGCCACTTCGGCCAGTTTTCCATTCGTTTTAAACCAGTTAGTTGTTTCATGTTCACCTCGGATTTTTAATTCACTTGCCACTTCGGCTAGTTTTCATTCATCACTTATGTACACTTCGCCTAGACTCTTACTTGTCCTTGCATCTACTTCGGCAAACTACGTTTCCAAACACCTCGCCTCGTTGCTGGCCACAGCGAGGCAACAGTCACAAAGTTCTCTAAATGGACTTTTAACCACCTTTCCTAGGACGAGAGTGCAAGCTACATCCTCTATTGATTAAAATTAAGCACGCTAGAAAAATTTAAGACCAAAAACGTATCTTTTCTGATCTCCAACAAGTTCAGCAAATGATTCAGTTCAATGTCGAACCCGCATTCAAAGCCTCGAACCAGAATGCCGATCATGTGTCGCAAACCCCTCGGCATAATCTGCCCGATCGAGATCCCATGTTTCCAAAGGTACTCGAAGATAACTCCGGGGATCAGAAACCAGAGAAAACAAAGCTCAAAGAACGCCTCATACAGAGTAAACTGATTCTCAGGGGGTTTGCCAGCTCGGTCATTCTTTTATGGAAGGACGAATTCCACCGCCTCGGATATCCTGAAACGACATCTCAACGCCTCGAGTGAGTCGGGAGAGGAGAGCGTGCAGCCGGGCGGGTCAGGTTTTTGTCTTTTCACTCGTTTTTGTTTCCCTTGCCCGGACGAAGAAGCACCTCGGGATGCCATAAGACGTTCTAATTCGAGCCTCACCTCGAGTAGATCAAAGGGAAACGCTTCCTCTTCAGCTTTCACTGCGGCTAAATTTTCATCTTCGAGACCCTGAGGATGGCTCGTCGAAACCGACGGCTCGTTATCTGGAGAGCAAGCACCTGATGGGCTTGAGCGATTCGACGCCTCGTCGTTTTCGGATGAACGGTTGGAAGGGCTCGGCGAGACAGACGCCTCGGAAGATCCTGTTACACCTCTCACCTCGGCCACACGGCTCGGCTCGTAGTTAAAGAGCGAATCTAACGAATCGTCAGAACGGTTCGACATGATTTACAGCTTGTACAGAAATTACAATATTACGCGGCCAACTTTCGTCAGAAAAAGATCTAGGGCGGCGGAGACCTCGGAACCCTAGCCGGAAAATAAATAAACTAGAGAGAGAAAGAAGAGATAAGGGAGAGCTACCTTTTAGTGAAAACGAGTGGATCTGAAGATTATGAGAATGAACAAAGGAGCTCACCTATTTATAGAACAACCGAAGCGCGTGAAGTCCGCGTGGACCTCGGGATGGCGCAAAGGCATTCAATGAGGGTGCGTGAAGTCCGCGGTGAATGCGTAATCTCTCGGCGTGTCCGTCATACATGCCAACACTCAAAGTGTCTTGGAAAGAACTGACAGCCGCTAAATGTTTCCCGTATGGAGCTGTCCAGGTGAACCGAGCCCACAACACAGCTATGGTTATCTAAGGATATTTCGTCAAGCTGTGTAAACCAAACCATGCTTTGTCGATACGGCTCAGCAATTTCATAGGAGTGCCTCGTCGTTATCGTTAATGCGAAACGGCTCGGTAACTTTTTTAAAACGCCTCGTCGTTATCGTTAACGCAAAACGGCTCGGCAACATTCTTAGTAAACGCCTCGTCGTTATTGCTAACACGAAACGGCTCGACAACTTCCTTAGAACGCCACGTCGTTATCATTAATGCGAGACGGCTCGGCAACTTTTTTAGAAAATGCCTCGTCGTTATTTCTTACATGAAACGGCTCGGCATAGCTTTCACATCATCGCCTCGTCGTTACCTCAAAACACGGCTCGGTGTTAGTGATACAGCTCGGCATCCTTTTTGAAAAGACAACACTGATTTGGCATCCTCTGAGAGCACCTTGTCATTGTTATTCCACGACAGCTCGGCTTCTTACTCGCCTCGTCAAATAAATAGCTTCGCATATCACCAAAATTGCAGCACCGGCACGACGGCTCGGTATCGTTTCAAAAACGCTCGGCGAAACTACACCATAGCAACTCAGTGAGTATGGTTAATACGAACTTCAAAGCTTCATACCTCATCGCTCTCATCTCCGAGACCAACGAGCTGGGGGGCTAACTGTTGGGGTCGGTTTCCACCCTAGCTGAATTAACCATTTCAAAATGACTAAGTGTCGGAAGATCTCGAAGAATCCGAGCTCTGTGAAGAAGCAAGCCGAGCTCAACCATGAGGCAGGATGGGTCGAGCCCTGCTATGACCGTGGGCCGAGCCCCTGAAGCAACATGGATGGAGTCACAAGGTGATACGGGCTGAGCTGTGGGCCGAGCAACGTAAGAAGGAGAATGGGCCGAGCCACTTCCCTCCACAATTGGGCCGAACCGAAGCCTTGAAGGATGAAAGCCCATAGAAATCCTAGGCGAAGTATCATGACGGCGGCCGCATGAAACGATAAGGAAATATTCCGAAAATCTCACCCGAGATTCTCGGCTAGGTGGTTCAGAAAATTAGTATATATAGACGATGTATACAATTCATTCTGTAACTTCTCACAACTCGAGAGCAATAAGACCTAAACACTTTTCAGCAAAAAAACCTTCTTTTGATCTTACTGTTCTTGCGATAACCCTAGAAATTTCGGATCACTTAAACATTCCTTAAACAAATTTTTGGTTGTGCGAGTTTTGGCTCACACAAGATTGACTGTATGTACAATGACTTGAATAGAAAGTTTGAATCTCTTTCAACCCATGTCAAGAAGTTGGAACTACAAGTAGGCCAAACTGCAGACTCAATGAAGAGACAATCAGGAGCTTTGCTAGGAAGAGTAGAAGATAATCCAAAGAAGTTCTGCAATGCTATGTCAATAATACCTGAAGAGGAGACCATCGAAGAACCTGAAGAGAAATCAAGCTCTAAGCCAATTGTGAAGGATACAAAAACCGAGTGTGAAGGAGGTCTAATCACACCTATTGAGGTACCAAAATGTTTTCCTGTCCAAAGACTAAAAAAGTCTAAGGATCTGGGTGTTTATCTTTCACTTGTTCTATTACTGGAATTGAATTTTCAGATTGTTTATGGGATTCTGGTGCTAATGTGAACATCATGTCAAAATTAATTGCTGAAAGACTGGGTCATTGGGAACAAGATCTTTCTAACTGATTTCCAAGTATTGGAGATGGACCAAGACAAGGACAGGCCATTGATCTTTGGTCGGCCATTTTTAGCAACTGTAGGTCTATTATTGACCATGCAAATCGCTGTTTAGTTTTCTTAAATGTGGACAGGAAATTTTTCTATAGAACTGTTCCAGATGAAGCTCCAACTCGAAGGGATAAACCCAAGGAGAAGGCTTTGGAAAATAAGAAAGCTGAAAGCAACAAGGCAAAGGAATTAAGATCACTTGCATCTAAGCAATTTCAAAGATCAAGATAGTGAGGCCACCAGACATAAGCAAGGTGAAAGAAGATAACCTCAAAGAAGTTATGGAGAAGACAAAATATGTATTCGAGACTGCAAAGATCCTTAGAAAAGGAAAGGAGACTGTGATACAAGATGAAGGGGATCCACTCTTCAAGCTTAAGAGGATCCCCAAATCTAGAAGATCCTTTTTCTTCTTCTCACTCTTTATATCACCAATAGTCTAGCTAAAAGATTTTAAACAAAAGCGCTTGATGGGAGGAAACTCATTTGGTATGTTTTCTTTCTTTTTATTTCATTTTTTTCTATTGATCTTTCCTTTTTATGCATTTCAGGTTTTTATAAAACCTAGAAAACCCAAAAAAAAATTTAAAAAACTAGAAACCCACAAAAAGATATAAGGAAGTATTAAACACTTTCAAGAGAAATTGGAAGAAAGAAGAAAAAGTGGCAGAATGGCCGAAGCCATTTCATCTCTTCACTGCAGTCAAGACACCTCCACTGCAGGGGAAACATACTCCCACCGCGGCTGTAACACCCCCGACTCGGTCTAGATCCAAGTGCAGTGATCGGCCGCACAACAATCAAACAAGAACATGCATGGACGACTGTTCGAACCCAAACCGAATCAACGGGATTACTGTTGCGCGCACAGACTGATGGCCCAAGGTTCTTAGTCGTGCACCAATCAAACAAGAACATGCACGTCCAAGAGCCCAAGGTCGACGTCCGCACACGCTGTTCCTACCGAACGCGTCTCCCAGATTTCCAACCTGAGACGTGTCCGATAGTTGGTTCGTCTCGGACAAAGACTAGTATCATTCGAAAACCCAAACTTTTATAAAACATATTTTACTATATTGTTTGTTATACAATGGACGCCCCTAAGAAAACATTATACTGAAATCAACTTAAATCATATTTGGTTTTGCAAAAGGCACGAAATCTACACCAACGGTCCTAAACTTCTCTTGTCCCAATTGGCTACCCGCTATGGTCACCTGCAAGTAGAGTCCTGAGCAACTAATTGCTCAGTGAGTTCGGTTCCCCCTAACCGTTCAAGCAATAACCCAAAAATTCCAAACATCACGCAAAACACACATCACACAAAAACAATAATAATCTCACATCAGATGCATGATAATATATACTTATTATACATGTATATACCCAACATACACTCAAATGCCAAATCTCTCAGATGCCATAACCAGTCCCGCACAAAGAAAAATCTCACATTTTGCACTAATCAAACCCTAGACACACAGGCTAAAAAGTCGCTACTGTCTTCTCTCATGCATCACTCATCGACCCGGGATTTCACATCATCAACTCAGGGAGGGTCACATGGCATCAAACTCACATCTCTCATCCGCACGACACAAAAATATGTGCTAATGCACGTGCCGCAGATTCGCATCGCAATGCAACACGCAATATATATATATATATATATCCCTACTTGCTTTGCAGTAACAACAAACAATCCACACCGAGACTCACCTTGGCCTTTCAAGACAATAACGGTTTCTTATGGTTTTGGATAATCTCTCCGTTCACATACACAACTTAATATTTATAGAGATCCGACCAGAACCGAGCCAACAGAGGTCAGATTTGGATTCAGAATGAAAAATTAGGTTAGTCAGGTGACTTCGAACTAAAACAACCTACCTGACTGTTCTCGACTAGCTACCCGACTACGGCTCGCGCAGTGGTTTGCGGTGGTCGACGGCAGTCACGGTCGCCGGAACTTTTCTAGCAGAGCTTCTCTTCTCTTTTCTATCTTGAAAACTAAATCCTAAAGCTTCTATTTATAGGGAAATATGGAGAATCTAAAAAGATTCTCGAGCAGCTGTGTCGTGCTTGCAGAAAAGATTCTCGAGCAGCTGCGTCTTTCTTGCGTGTGGAAGCGTAAGCAGGTAAAGCAGGACACGAAGCTGCTGTGTCGTGCTTGGCATGTGCCGACGCGTGGAAAGCGTGTCCCGGTGCATGCAGAGCGTTTCCCGGTGCGTGCAGAGCGTTTTACGGC